TGGAACTGTGAAAAAGACAAAGAAAGGATGTTTTTCCTGAGATTTGATCTGAAATTGGACTGGAACAGAGCAGCAATACATAGGTACTGGCCTTTTGAGAGGCCTCACTGTGGTGGAAAACAATTGTGCAATTTCCCTCACTGTGTGCATTACTGTCACTTTATTTAGGTTATGCTACCACCTACTGTTTGTCACTGGAACTGCAATTTATTGAGACTTGATTGCTGCTTCTGATTTTGATCTTTTATTGCAGATTACTACTTTATAATAATTATGAGATCCACATTTAAGATGTACAACACACTGCTGTAACTGATCCTAATTATATGAGTAGGAAAAAAATAATATGCTGTGTAGAATCTACTAGTTCTGTCTTGAAGAACATCCTGACTATCTTGATAGCACATTCATTTTCTTTATTGTCCTTCTATTGATAATTAGGGAGCGTTATTCATTTTAAGATAGTGATGTCTTCTTTTTTTATTCTTTTCTCTTTGTCTAACACATTTCTGGGTTTCCAGAGACCTTTTTTTTTATTAATGAATCCTGCAGCACTGTTTCAATTACCTATAAAGAAAGAACAAACATTTGAGTTTCACTTGTCAGCTTGATCCTGAGTTATACTGCACATGACATAAATGACATACGGCCAAAATGAAAAATGTAACTACTGCTAAATATGTTGTGAATATGCTTCCTTTGCATTGCTGCAATCTCCAGCAAAATTCTCTGTTGTAAAGACTAGAAAAAACCCTTTTGGTGATGCATCCTCAAGCTTTGGGATGGATTTTTAGAAGACAGGTAACTAATGATATGTCTGTGAAGCCACATATCATCATCATCATCATCGTCGTTAACCGCTTAGTCCAGCTAGGGTCGCGGTAGCCACATATCATTTTGCAATTATATTACTGTGGGAGGGCGGCACGGTGGCGCAGCGGGTAGCGCTGTCGCCTCACAGCAAGAAGGGCCTGGGTTCGATTCCCGGCCGGGTGAACAGGGTCATTTCTGTGTGGAGGTTGCATGTTCTCCCCGTGTCTGCATGGGTTTCCTCCCACAGTCCAAAAACATGCAGTCAGGCCAATTGGACATGCTAAATTGCCCCTAGGTGTGAGTGTGTGAGTGGATGTATATGTCTGTTTGTCTGCCCTGCGATGGACTGGCGACCTGTCCAGGGTGTATCCTGCCTTCTGCCCGATGACAGCTGGGATAGGCTCCAGCACCCCACCACGACCCGGAAGGATAAGCGGTTTAGATGATGGATGGATTACTGTGGGAACTGTCCCAAAATCATCATTACAATGGTGAAAATGAGACAACGTGTATGAAAAAGGACAACAACCTAAAAGCTAAAGTTAGCAAGGAGGCTAACTAGATATCTAGATGCCTCTTTCACATTTAGATATACAGCACACTTCAATAACTTGTGTCTGTGATAAAGACAAAGCGATCTTGTTACAAAAACAGAGGCAAGAGCTAATGCTAACACGGTTGTATTTACCAGTGAAGAATCACAACATATTGCAGCGCGTTCGGGAAATGTACTGCATGATAATTTTGGAGTACTAGTTCTGCAGCAGTGGGTTTATTCTGACAAAGACTCATAATGTGACAGGGGGCTAGTTTGCCTTTGGGGTGTGTGTTAGAGGAGACAGCAAGCGGTGGGCCACTCAGGGCTGGAAGTGAGAGAGTGCAGACGTGAGCTTAGAGCTTAGGCCAGAATGAACTGTTAGCTAAAAACCTCGCTTTGTGTATGTGGCCAACTACAGCTGGTTAATAAAGCACAATGACTTGTGCATAAGCTGTGTTTCTTTAATATTGGTAAACACTACAATATTAAATGCTAATTATAATGCTAAGTTAGATTTATGTATCATCTTTATGCATCTTTAACCCTTGTGTCATGGATACAATGAGTAAAGCGCACAAAAAAACATTAAAAACTGAAAAAAAAACTACTTGGCAAACAGATGTTGCTGTTTTATGGGCATTATATCATAAGGTTCGTTATCTGTCAAAAATATCTCTACAATTATCACTAAAAAGCTATGACATGGTATGTCAACGTCTCAGTATAGCGGTATAGACACCTAGCCCTAGGCATGAGTATCTCCAAGGCTGACAGATGTCACTAGACACACTCCTTACCAGTGGCATAACAGTGACATGCATGAAGCCTTATTTGAAAATCCGGTCACATCATCACACTGCCTGTTGCTAAGCACTGCATTAGCCCAGCAGACTGGATCAGAGCAACCGGGCTGCGGCTGAAATATCCAGCGTTAGCTACAGGTTTCACCTGCTGTGCCTTACTGTCAGTGCTTGGCAATTTAATGACGACTGTGCGTGGCTCTCTTAGCAACAAATGGCTACTGATGTCAATGAGGCATCACCCATCTATTACTGTGCTCTGAGCGGAGACAGGGGAAAACAGATGACTGCAATTTGTGATCTGCGGTAGACATGGTAGAAGAGCTGGAACAACAGCAACAACCTAAACCCAAACCACCTTAACGCTGAGAAAAACATGACGCTGTCACAATTTCAGAAACCCACAACTAGATTTTCATGAGGTATTTTACATTAGTCAGGTCAGATGAGTTATTTACATGGCGACAAGGCACAAAATAGTCTTAAGATCTTCTGGGCCATCAGATATTTCTGGTGTTGCGTACTAGTGTGTTTTAAAAAGAGCATAAGAACAGAGTCAAACAGGCTAATTAAATTACAAAGCAGTTGTTTACTGGAAAACTGAGTTAAAGAATGCTTTTGTCATTTAAGGCCTAGAACCTATGTGCCTTACTGTGCCATGTTACCCAACACACTGTCCAATATGACCCCATCCCCCATAATACCTGAGTCTTCTTTTCTTGCATTCATTGCTGGGATCAATGCATTTTGGCTGCTGTTCAAATGGTCCAAGCATTTGCCAGCAAAAGCAGTGACAGCACGATAATCACAAATAGATAATCATGAGGCATTTGCCATTCCTTTTCCATTGGCGAGGGCAGATGAGTTATTCACAAAGACAAAACGTCAGGATGGACCCTTGCTTTTTTTCTTATTTTAGCTGATGATGTCTGGTGAACTCTTTGCAGATAAACCAAAGGAAATGAACAGAATCATTAACAAAGTCATTCAGAGTGGTTTAATGTGAAATGATGAGCCAGAATTTTTAACAGTGGTGGTGATAGGAAGCAAACTGAAGCATTTAATGCCTCTTAAAGCCGCCCCATAGGAAAATTCTTTCTTAGGATTGTCTCAGAGAAATAAAGCAGATCTCAATAATATATTAATGAAGAATCACCGATTTCTGAATTGTTTTTCCTAAACCCCCCTTAGGAGAAAAGAGGAGAATTACATCGGCATTTCACTGTGAGAAGTTCTGATGATGAAGGAGAAAAACATGAGTTGTCCTTCTGCACTGACAGATGACGATGAGATCTCACGCTATTCTTATAGAGATATTATTCAGCTGAGACTGGGCTGAGACGAGTCTGACTCTAAAGAGTTAAGCTACGCGTGTGACAATATTTTGATCAGAGTGAGAAAATCAGAGTTTTATCTAGGAGCCAAATTTCAGAAACAGGAGAAAATGGCTAAAGTCTCACTCTGATTTCAAACTGGACTTACCTGTGTCTAGGAGAAGTACATGAGATCAAGAAGAGATCTCATTTAGAATATTTTTTCCCTCTGGGGCCTCACAAAAAAGTTATGGCTTGAAATGGTTAATATGCTGCCAGATGCCTAAGATGTTACTTTATAATAGTTGTGAGATAAAGTTTTGGCCTACAGTCGTGGCGAAGAGGTTCACGGAGGGCGTTGCACCCAGAGAACAAACATTACTGCCACTGCTGGTCCACCCTCGGACCACCCAGGTTATTGTCCTTCATACAAAGTCTAACTAGTTTTTAATCTGCTCAAACAGATTTTAAATATGCACAGCCTTGTTTTTTGGAAAATAACTAAGACCGTTATTACAAACTGATTGAAAAAATAATGACTAGGCTTAATATAAAATGATTTTGTTGAAAATGTTGTTGCTGACGTTGTGCTGGATTGGTTACAGCTGTATAAGAAGCTTTAATTATGGCTTTACTGTTAAAATTATTTACTAAACTTATTTACACATAATAACGAAAATAAGAAATGAAGGAAAAGTAAACTGGCCTATGAGGGTGAAATGAGCACTCAAAGGTGGCTTTTGCCGCTCAGAAAACACTGAGCAAAAAGCCATCTTTGCCATCTTTGGCAATAAATGGGCCAACAACGGGAAAAACTCATTTACAGGTCATTTTGAAACTGAATAAAAGCATTGCTTTGTCATTCAGGGCCAACAGCTTGGTGATATGACCGCTGTCCTGTTTGACCCCTTGACCATATCACCTAAAACCACCCAACTGATGCTCAGTCCAAGCATTGGATCCAGGCTGGGTCCATTGATTGGATCAGTGCATTTCAGCTGCACATAGATTCATGTTTCCTTAGACCACTGTTGATTTATAAAGCATGTATCAGTAAATAAATATATTTTGGGGCTGGGGTGGGCGTTTCTCTGCGCATCAAAAAAAACGATGTGAACACCCCCAGAGGTCTCTGCTGGTCTTCACGGCTAAATTATGAGCACGAGCGAGCGCACGTGCACGAGCACACACCCCCTCTTAACATCCATACATGGTACATATGTGCAGAATACGACCTTCATTTATATGAGATACCCCACATGTTGGTTCTTACCGTGCGGGTACGACGCCCAGCAAGCGGTGGCCAAGATGGCGCTTTCTCGCTATGTTTTAAAATATATTCTTAACAGATACTACGTAAGGGTAAGACTTGGTCCAATAAACCCACAACGCTTGCATCTTTTGAAGCACATTTGACATTAACTGCGGATAAGATTTACGACGCACCCCTCCCGTCCAGGTGAATGGTACAGTCCTACGGGAGAGAGCGAGAACGGGAGGGGGAGATACTCCAAGAAGTGCGCGGTGTAGTAAGGCAGCAGCCTCCGTCCACACACCGCTCTCCTCTCACAGGGATGCGCTGAAGAGACCACACAGTCCCCACATCACCACATAGAGCAGCCTGCTTCTCTTTAAAACAGCCCAGACGGAGAGAGCAACGAAGGAAGCTGCCGCGAACAGCCAGTAATAGAAAAGGTAACTTAAGTGTTAATTCCTCCTAATTAGCAGTCAGTCGCAGTGGCTTTTAACAGCCTGATGCATTTTGTATTAGCCTGGTTCATTCTGAAGTACTAGAAATGAGAAATTGAAAAGGGTGTCGTCAACATTCATAACTAGCATAGCATAATTAGCCTTATTATGCACTCACATTTTAGTCATACGGTTTGTCAAAGTTATATAGAAAATAATGAGTAATATTTGTTCAAATATTACATTTAAAATTCAGATTCAGGGCGATTTTTTCGGTCCCAAAAGCTAATAAATAAATAAATAAATAAATAATAATAATAATAATAATAATAAAAAAATCTCAGTGCAGTCACGCGTCTCGTGCATCCCTGCTATTCAAATGACTGAGATGACGGTTGGTCTCACAGCAGCACTCGCTTCATTTCTGAGGGAGAAAATGCGCGATGTCTTGTCTTAAAATCGGTTTATATGTCGCGTTTTTGTACCCATACTTCGACATCACACTATATTCTGACACAAACCGGAGAAAAAACGAAAGCTCCGGCTAATTAAACGGTTATTTCATCGACAGTTGAGTGAGTAACGTTAGCCTTAGCCTCGCCCCTTCACCTTCGTGTCTGACGATCCTAGAGTGGTTTAGCAAGCCTGATCAGGCAGAATTAGTAGGCTGTCTAGTCTATATTTGATTTTATTTTGATTATAACCTGTTATAACGTAGTAGTTGGTGATATTTCTTTAATAGACTGGGGAAATTGATTTTTAACACGCCTTTTAAGGTGTTCAGCAGCAAAATGACCTTGCAGCAAACGTAGGCTAAAGGATGGCAACCTGTGGTAGACTGGTTGGGTTTCCTCAGGAAGAAAAGGGATTTGGTTGATGATTTTTGACCTTTTTTTGCAGAATTAGATCATTTTTTTGTATTCCTAAGCAAAAAACATCACACAAAGAGGTTTGCCTGGATACAGTCATGATTTGTTGACAGATTGGATGATGATGTCTTTTTTGCTTTCTGTCAGATTGAAAAAAAATGGACTGGATGTGAGTAATCCTGGTTGTGATGAATATAGGCTGTCATGATTGACGTATGGTGAACATCTCACCACACGGTTCCTCAGTGGCATATGAAGATGATATTGTGTTTCAGTGAAGAATGTGTTATGCTGGGTTATATTCTGCTGAAACATATTGTTAAAGAGGCTTGTGATTACCAGTATGCGTTTCTGCTTCTGTTACAGCTTACAGATTTGTTCCTCTCGTGTTTGGCGTGACCTCAAAACAAAATCCTCTAAAAATAAGCAGTTTGTGGTGTCATGTTCTCTCTCTGTTCTTCAGCCATGCAGAAACTAGCACTGGTTTTCCCAGATGTGGATACTGAATCAGATTACAGATGCTCCTACTAAACACTTGTTCCAAACATTCATCTAATGAGCTCTTAGCGAACACAGCTTTTTCAAGGGCTCTCCTGGTAGCTCTTCTCCATGAGTTCATCACAAGTTCAGCTACCTGTCTGGGCTATTCTAGTCCACATAGTCTCTTTTTGAGAAGTTTTATTAACCGAAGCCCTTCGGACCGTAGTTTGCTGTGCACTTTGTCGATGCTGCAGTGCTCTTTGCTGTGTAACCTTGAGTGGAACCCTCAGAGGAACGATAATGAGGCAGAGAATGACGGCAGAAAAAAAGGCTGAGGGTCTTTGCAGGTAGAAATGGCTTTTCTGGAATCATTGCTCTTCCCGGCCGGGGGTCCCCATGTCACGTGATCTGTTTCCAGATGACCACTGGGTAGAGCTATTTCTGGACTGGCCAAGCCATGGCTTGCCACTGTGTTGGGTCTGGAGAGGTGACGATGTGAGAATGAGTGGTAGATGCACAAGATAAGACCCACTGAAATGGTGGCATAGGCATCTGAGACCATGAGACTGCAGAATTATCAGACAGCTCTCTCTGACCATTAAACAAAATTGGATATTTACTTAAATGCCAGTGTAATTCATGTTGTCATGATGGTTGAGTTATAGCATATAACAAATTGAGACTTGGCAAAATTGATACATCAGTTTATTAATAAACACATGGTTGATGTTTTAGCCAGAAATGGTAGTTTTTCTGGACTTTCTCTTCTCTTAACAGTTTGTAATTTAGAAATATGTGTTTCTGCCCAGAATAAGAAGTAGACATCAGTGTTGCTGTCAAGACCTTCAAAAACCTTCTTTTTGCATTGTGTGAAACTTTCAGTAGAAATCGCTCAGTTATTTGGAATAAAATTATTGTTAGGAAGGTTTTGCTCCTACAAACGTTTTAGTTTTGCGTTAATAAGCAAGATCTGGTCCACAAAGCTCCAATTTGAAGTTGGCAGGAAGGGATGATTTTCCACCCAGAAACTGCAGTATGTGCTGTCAAGGGAAACTGGGTGCAGCAGCATCATAATCTCCCCTTCTTCATAATCCCTGCAGTGGAGTCGTGAGCTCTTCTACATGGGAAATTCTTCTGCTCCCATGGGCAAGATACGCTGCCCCCTGGTAAACTATGCTAGCAAATCCCACTTAAACCTGTTGAATGATTCAGCGTTTGTTGTCTTGCTTGACAGAAATTGTATTTTGTTGGCCTCAGAGTCAAGATAACAGCATTTGCTGTAAATTTGTTGAATCCGTATCCTACATTTTTGCCCCCTTATAATATTGGTACAGTAGGCTTGTCAGGGTTTCACACGCCAAGGGTTAAATAGTTTGTGAAGTTTTGTTTTAAAAGTGTTCAGTTCCCACCATGATGTGTAAATGTCTTACATAATCCCGAACCGTACTGTACTGCTTGACACTGTGCAGCATATTAATGAGGACTGTTAGCCCAGGATGAGAGCGGTGAGCTGTGGAGAGCTTGGCTGTGGCGACGGGGCTAAAATGGATGCGGTGTGGATCATGGGTGAGCACAGCTGATGGAGCGCAGTGTGTCCATGGTGACAGCGCACACGGGCAGATTTGTTACAATGGCTAACGTGACTCACTGAGGCTTTGTCCTTCTCACAGACATGGCTGCAGACTGGGAGCTACCACTAAATGTTCACCAGCTCTTCTCTTCTCTTCTCTTCTCTTCTCTTCTCTTCAGCATTTCTTCTCATCTCCTTTTCTCACCTCTTCCTTTTTCTTTTCATTGTTTGGTTTATATTCTTCTCTCTCTTCAGCTTTCCTTCTCTTCTGTCCTTTCTTCTCAGTTGTCTCATCTTTCCCCTTCTCTTCTCTTCTCTTCTCTTCTCTTCTCTTCTCTTCCTTTTGGTTTCTTTGTCTATTTTCTCTTCCTTTTGATTTCTTTGTCTGTTCTCTTCTCTTCCTTTTGATATCTTTATCTATTTTCTCTTCTCTTCCTTTTGATTTCTTCATCTGTTGTCTCTTCTCTTCTCTTCCTTTTGGTTTCTTTATCTATTTTCCATTCCCTTTTCTTCTCTTCTCTTCTCTGCTCTTCTCTTCCTTTTGATTTCTTCACCGGTTGTCTCTTCTCTTCTCTTCTCTTCTCTTCTCTTCTCTTCTCTTCTCTTCTCTTCACTTCACTTCTCTTCCTTTTGATTTCTTTGTCTATTTTCTTTTCTCTTCCATCCTTTTCTCTCCTCGCTAATCTGTCTTCTGTCCCCATTTTCTTTTCTCCTTCATCTTTTATTCTTTCTTCTTTATGTTCTCTTCATCTTCTCTTTCACCTTTACTCTACTCTTTCTCCTCCACCTCCTCACTTTATCATACCACACTCCGCCCCCCCAGTTTCCATTTCCACTCTGCCATTTACTCAAGGTCTCCGTGAACTATAGCGGATGAATTGAATTCCTCTATGGCCTCCTTAACTCTGCTTTACGTCTCCCGTGTTTTGCGTCAGTGGCAGAGCCCGGAGTGTGTTTTTTATTATCGTAAATGAGAGCGCTGCAGAAAATTCTTTGTTCGGCGTCGGTTCAGAAAACACAGGCAAATATTGGAGGGTGAACAGATGCAGATACGTCAGCTTAAGCAGATCCATTACGTTGTGGAGACACGTTCGGTAGTATTTAGTGTTACCTGCTAACAAGATGGCAGTTCCTTCCCTCTGAGGCGTTTGGTGTGATTTGGGCTGGGCTGTTTGCTAAATGAAAGGCTGTGGAGAAAGCCCAGTGTATCAGAGCCTCTAGGCTGAGTTAATCCACTGGTCTATAGGATCAGCACTGAACACACACATCCTGTCTGCTGGGAGCACTGCGGGAAGTAAAACGCTAAGATGGAGAATCCTTTCGAATTTTGTCCTCAGTAAAGTCTCAGGAGTTTTTGTCTGGAAATAATATTTGATATACTTGATTTCTTGAAATTTGATATACTTGGTTTCTTTTGGTTTTGTTGTATTGCTGATAGATTTGATGAGACCTTATTTCTGATATGATTATGTCTCCTTTCTTATCTGTTAGATGTTTCAATCTTGGTTTTTGCACATTGGCGATTTGACTGTTTTCATCGCTATCAGGAGAAATGACATCACATAACGTGAGCTTCTGCAGTGTCATATGTAAATCGTTAATAACAGTCATTGTATTCACCATTTTACTAGAATGTTTTAATATTACTGCGCAAGAACAGACGGTGGATGTTCAAGGATTTAAATATTCTTCATCTTCTAGATGATGTATGTTCATATTTTTGGGTAAAGTGGCGCGATGTTTTAAAAAAGCCGCAGCACGAAGCTCGAGTTTTACATTGCGTTTACGTCAAGCCTTCTTCTGTGAGTTTATTGGCTGGTTGCAAAGTAGATATCTGATTACTGCCCGACTCATGTAGACCCGGAGTTTCCCATTATCTGATTACTCAAGCGCATGTAAACGTGTTGATAGGATTACTGACTAAATCTGATTTTCTGCATTTATCGGATTATTAAGTGCATGTAAACACACTCAATCATTGTATTCATCATTTTGATGGTAATTTTTTTATCGCATTGCCTAATTATGTAGTTATGTACTTACAGGCAAATAACAAATAACATTGACAGCTTTTAGTCTTATTTAGG